AGTATAATCGTCACAGTGGACAGATAATTGTAATTGCTATCTAAGTTGATACATTTTTTATTGAAGTACATGTACATGTACTAGCATTCTTTTTAATGTGAGTAATCATTGAATTTTAAACATTATTTACAATAATCACATGCAAATTTATGTATTGTTCCAACTACTTTATAAGTATTGGCACACTTTAGATGGTACCATTGCAGGACAATGACGGCAATTCATACCCAATCATCCATGATAAAGGACTGTCACTTTTTTTTCATCTAGAGATGGCGGCAGAATTAAAGGAATGCATTGTGACTGTAATTGATAAGAGTACATCATTTAGCTAGCTACCTGACACTGATGGTAAATGGTGCATGTTTTTTTCATTTAGAGATACCTTGTAGGCACAAAACACCAGCAGAGTGTGGTAAAGGAAGATTTCTCAGTGTAAAAGGGCGATGAACGTCTCAAAAAAGTGTCTCATGAACAAAAGCCAAAAACTTAAATACACACAAAAATAACTATTAATAACTATATGAATACTTATAAGTGATAACACAATAATTACAATGATTCCAATAGTAATAATAATACTACTGATAATAATAATAATAATAATAATTATTATTATTATTATTACAATAACATAATAATAAGCATAATGATAAATGATGATAATGTCAACAGTACAATAGTTCTATAGATTACCACACAGAGAAATTATCTACACAAGAGGCAAATACTTTATGTGGTTGCTGCAGGTCAAAAGAAATCAATTACCAGTAATTGAACCTAACTCTCAACAATCAATTTTAACCCTATTAAAGTTTGACGATAGAATTTAGAAACTTTAAAAGAATCATAAATCTGAAAACTACTGCTTTCCTAGCATTTTTGAGCTGGAATATTTATTCAGTAGGTAAAAGTGCAATCTTAATTTAAAATTTTCACTTTAGACACATTATCCAATACAACTGTTATGTCTGAATGAGATCTGAATCATCAACTTGCTTATTTAAAACAAATACAACTGCCATCCTATTTACACACTATAGAATCCTCTGAAGTACTCGATTAGAACAATCCTGATGAATTTACACTGCCTCCAATTTCTTTCACTGCTTCTTTTACTTTGCATTCCATTTTATAACTAAATTCACAATGTTTCACCATAGGCATGTACAAAGCTATATCTAGATGGCTCGCCTCTGTGCCTGACAGCTGTTTGTATCATTTGCAGAATTTATTAGCATACAAATGAAAATGAAAAGAGAAAGAAAAATATAATTTCTGCATTCAAATTGGTCTGCTTACGTGTGAAATTCATAAAAAAACAAATTATTATTAGATGATTTATACTTCCATTTGATTCATAACATGTATTCACTTTCTGAGAAAATCTGAGAATGCATCACTGCATGTAATTCACAGTTTGACCAATGAATATAATGTAAAAGAATGATTATAAATCTTTTACAAAAATGGACAACAAAAATTGAAAAGAAATAATTTTTGAAGGAATGCAACAGAAATTTGTAATCTTAATAACTACATACATTTAGGAAATAAAACAGACTGAACAATGAACATGAACCAACAAAGTGAAAAATGCAAAGGGATCAGAGTTTTAAAAATTGCAAAAATAATACCATTAATTGGGATGCATGAGCCTCATTATGTCAGCATAATATTAGGAATAATAGGGGCTTCCTCATATGAAGCATGTTGCTAGACTAATTGGATGTAAATAGGAATAATAGTGGAATAATGGGTGGAGTTGAAGTTGATTGTAATTGCAGAAGAAATTTTTGGCTAGTGCTTTTTGGAAGACCTATTTTGAAAACACTACTGGAATGCAATCTTTGGGTGAAAATTGATTGTTTGAAAAATTATTGAGAATAAATTGAGAATAATAGGATGAAATTAAAAAATAATTTGGAAAAATATTGAGAATTTCCAGAAAGATTAAAAAAATTTAATAATAATAATAAATTATAATAATAATAACAATAACAATAAGAACAAGAAAATTATGAGCATTATAGGGTAGCTCAACCTTAACCATTAATAGCCTATTTTTTACTGTTGAGATAAGATAAGATTTTGAGAGGTCTAGAATCTATAGGTTGTAATCTAGCTGCCATGGTTTTTGGTGGACAACAAACTTGCCTGAGGAACTGCGGCATGCTGGATAAAAAAAAGTCTTGCAGAATCAAAGATGTTGAAATTATCAGGAGGAAACAGTACATTGTAACAGAAAAATGGTTATTTTAATAACAGACTAAGTTAAAAATAAGATGACTATAAAACATGAGTATTGAATTAGTTCAAAATCACTAAGAATGCAAGTAGAATAACAGTAAAAATAAACATAACAAGATAATTTTTGTTTAAATAGTTTCAAATTAAATTTAGTGTCAGTTTTAACTACACAAACTTTAAAGTAGTTTGCTTCTTGTAAGCTAAGCATAAACTATACTTTCGAAAAAGATTTAGTTATCTTCATCTCATTGCATGCGGAAGTACAATTAACATTAAAGCTATCTATGTAAGGAAGTGTTATAGAATATACAAAATTAACATACAAAATTATGCATTCAATAGTACCTATACATATAACGTCTAGATGCTGAGTACTTATGAACATCTATCTAACAACAAATAGCTATAATTATTTAAAAAAGTAGATGATTATCTACTCTTGTTACACTTATTAAAATTGATTATACTGACTGTTCCACCTTTAGTTCCTTGTAAAGTATAAAGAGATTAACAATTCATAGAAAACCCCTTTCTTTCAGCTCCTGGGCAAGATGCACTATTCATCAATCATTATGTTATTAATCTTTAAATTAAAAATTCCTTGATCTTCATAAGTGTATTTAAAATTAGAATATGAGAGAAATCAAAAAATACGAGAGAAATGTCCACCCTTAATATCATAGATACTCCACTACGAGATTATGTTTAATTAAGAGCATTAATAGTTATATGCGTGGGCGTGTCCCAGAATTAAAAAATAGTCATGCAATCCTATGTTACTAAACTCTGTGTCCAGTTACTGTATGATTCCTTGAACAGAATACTGTGAAAGTATCAGATAACCATGATAACCATGATAACCGGTTATTTAAAAATTAAAAGGACCTTAAAACCCCTATATTTGGCCACCTATGTTATTTTAGCATTGTCATAATGTATGTACTATTATTTTAGGGTATCAGTAGTCCTTGCTGGTAACCCTTCAAGACACTCATCAATCTGTACTTTCTATATATATATTTCTCTGTATGCCACATGTTTTGTAAAATTTGATAAATAAATTAATAAAATAAAATAAATAAATTTTTACTAAGAATGTTCATTTATTTCTGAAATACCGGTAAGTACCTAAACTACCTATCAAATTTTGCATATGCATACATAATTATTATAATTTTTATCACTGATTTTCAAAATATATAATTATTATAAAGTAATAAGAATATCTTTAATACTGAAACAAATTAGTAAACTACATTTAGAATATCTAAATGACTGATTGGCAATACAGGCAAAAAATAGTATAATAATAATAATATTTATATAATAATAATAATAGCCTGTATGTCTTACCACAAACTATAAACTAGAAATCCTGTTCAGGATAAAAAACTGTTTCATAATTAATATCAAGCATTGACTTGTTGAAGTCAGGTACCAATAGCTCTGCAATACTGTTGTGTCCACTGTCAATGGCATGCTCTAAAGCAGTCCATCCTTCATCATCTATTATGCTGATTGTTGGATTATACATTAACAAAAGCTCAACCACTTTATAATGGCCACCCATACAAGCTAACATTAAAGCTGTCATTCCTTCATTATCTTGAATATCTATGCCTGGATCATTACGAAGCAAATGTTCAACAACACTATGATGTCCTTTATCACAAGCAATCATCAAAGAAGTTTGTCCGTCGTTGTTTTGTAGATTTAAATCTGGATCTTTGCTTAGCAATAAGTCAGTAGTCTTAATGTCCCCATTAAAACTAGCAAACATTAGTGCAGACGCCCCGTCACCATTTTGAATGTTAACGTTAGGGTTTTTACTAAGTAAGAGTTCAGCAACTTCACAATGATTTGCAGAGCAGCAAGCTATTAAAGCAGTCATTTCTTCTTCATTTTGAATATCCAGTTGAGGATCTTTGTCTAATAATAATTCCACTACAAGGTAAAGTCCATATAGGCATGCACACATTAAAGCAGTCATCCCTACATTGTTACGAATGTTGAGATTAGCATTATTGTCAAGTAGAAGTTCAATCATTTTGTGCTGTTCTTCTTCACAGGCAATTATTAGTGCTGTATTACCCTGCTGATTCTGGGAATTGATATCTGAAGTCTTGTCCAATAAAATTTGGAATATTTCATATTGTCCTGAACGCACAGCTACCATCAAAAAGGTTTCCCCTTTATCATTTCTATAATTTGTATTACACTTTCCATGATCAAGGAGATGCTTGATTGCATTAATCTTGCCTTGTTTGATATTTTCTAATAATTGGTCCTCTTTTGTTGTATGACCATGATCATCTTCTAAATGATTCCTCCTTTCAATTAATTGTATGCGTGGGTTCTCTTCTCTGGCATCCAAAATGCTCATTGCAGAGATCTTGTCTTTATTTATTATGACTATAGGAGTGTCATCTATAAATACTCCATCTATGTCAAAATTACCTTCCAGCAATTCCTGTTCGATGTCAAAAATTGCCTGCATTTGTGAATGTGGAACAAGGAAGTAACAGACAAATGAGTTGTGGTTATGTGCCGAAACTTTGAGGAAATTTAGAGAATGTGCTGCAGTAGATAAACTAGGTAAGCTCACAAACTTTAAAAAAACTGATAGAAAAATAGAGCCCCAATTCTTGCCAAAAATGATTTTTAATATTGAAAAACCTTTGTGCAATGACAAATTTTGCACTGTTTCTTTTTCTGTAGCCACAGCAAGCTCTGCCAAAGTAGTTGTATCTTTAAATTTAGTCAGTTTAGAAGAGTAAGACTCAACAAGATTCTGAAAATCATGATTATCAATAACAGCTCCACTTTTAATGAAAATTTTGACATTAAAGCATGAGTAATAAGGTTGTAGTTGTTCCAGAAAATTTGACTCTGTGTCAATACAAAAGTCGAAAGAGTCCCTCATCTTTGACAATAAAACTTTGTTATTACTCGTAATAGCAACAAATTTACTACACAGCTCCTCAAAATCATTATTAAGATTCTGAAACCTTTCTTCCAGTTTTGCAGCAACCAACAAGATGAAAGGCTTGTAAAGGTACCAAACAATTCTTCTCTTCTTGATTGCAATATCGAATAGCTCAAAAACCGATGTACTGTTCTTAAGTATATTCACTCTATCTTCACCAAGTGTTGTGTGCATATGCTTTGAAAGAGCAGTACAGGCCAAGTAATTTAATCCAATGTGATTTTCATTTGGTAGTTGTACGATCGTATCAGCACCATTTAATACTAATGCCATAAATATGTTGATCAATCCATGTTCACTTGCTACCAGTAATGCAGTCTCTCCTTTGGTATTTTGATAGTTAACGTTAACCTTTAAACCTATCAGGAGGAACACAATTTTTTCATACTCTTTGCCACTGTTAATAAGTTTTATAACATTGAAAAGTGACTCCTCAAAAGAAAAATTTATATCTTCTTCAACATCGAATATAATTTTATCATCAACAAATATTTTGAAGACACCAAGGTGATGCAAAAAGGTGATTTTGTTCGAGATGTGATCGATAATGGATTGCGTTACAGAAGAAGGAACAAAAAACACAACAATGACAGACCCCTCATCAATATCGATTAGTTTAAAATGCTTTGAATTTTTCTCAAAAAGGTACTTGACAAGTTGACGAAGGTTTTCCACTGTTTTAGATCTCCACCTGCCAGTCAACCTAATCAATATTCTAGAGTTACCTCCCTCAATTGGTAAAGAAACTTTTTCAATTTGAGCTTTCATGTCTTGAATTTCAACAGACTCTTCAAATTTTGTTAATTCGTTTTCATATTTTTCAATAGCAGACTGCAGCCTTTCGCTTAAAACGAACTCTTCAGAAAGGTCTTGAATTACCTCAATATTCAGAAAGTCATAATGAGGTTGAATTGCATCAAAAAGATCATCAATTGTCTGCAAGTGAACAAAACCAGTTTTTCTGAAATATTCTGACATCCAACGAGCAACATCAATTACTTTGTACGAGCCACATTCATCATAATACTTCCTTATATCTTTAAGGAGAGAAATAAACTGCTTTTGTAGACTCCAAAGACCCCGGGAAACCTCACACTTGGAATTTAAGACTATTTTTTTCAAAATTTTAGGCTCCTTGTTTGACGAATCTTCATTCTTAGTGGCCAAAGAAATCGATACATTCTGACTTTTTTCAACTTCCTCTTTCCAATTTGTGCCCAGCAAGTTAGCAGCTAACTGTACAGGACCACCTACTGCAATAAAAGAATCCAAAAAATTCTGGCAATGTTTTTCAAGGGATAACAAGTCTCTCTTTAACTTCATTCCAGCTACAAACTCATCATGGATTGTTCTGTACTCGGGTGAATTCCTTACTGCTCTGCTAATGAGTTCCTTGCTGTACAGTTCACCAGCAACTTTATCAATGCAATGCTCCACAGTATCACTTAGAGCAGAGTAATGGCGAGTGAGTACATCTTGTACAATTGTCCAGACACCTTTCATATTCACTATTTTAAAGTACTCATGATAATGTTTATAATAATAATACTTTACCTTCACTGGTTTTCATTTCTATTTGGTGAGCTATGGCTGTCTCATGAGAATCATGCAATGCATCAATTACGACTCTCCATGTCACATGAGGATTATTATCAAGAAAATTCTGAACAACAATACTGTGAGCTTCCTCTTCTTCCAGTCCATGCTTCATATCAGCTAAAATTTCTTGGTTCATTTTAGGAAGACAACAGACAAACTGTTCCCAAGTCCCAGCAGTAAATTCAGATGATCTTAACAAATGAATTAAATCGTCTTTTCCTGGCTTATCTAATAATAAAAAAATCAGCATTAAATTCTGTAACTTGAAAGTACATGTATAAGTGATGTATACAACATTTAAGTGATGTAAAGTGATGTACATAACATTTGGTTGTGTTACTTTTTTTCACTTTCACTGTTTCTCTTTTATATAGTGGCAGATACAAACCACAATTGGATTTGGAATGCATGCCTATGCATTTTCATAATCACAAACTTCAGAGTCACAAACAAAGTGAAAGTGCACCATAAAGTTTCTATATTTTCAGATACAGCAAGGATTGTACAGTTAGAAACTGAATGGCAAGGTTAATAATGTAACGACTAGATCTACCACTAATTATATATGTAACACTTAGCTAGCAGTGATTTTACAGAAACAGCATCATTGATTCAACAACATTAATAACTATTCCCTAATTATTAGAATACCTATCAGTATTACCTGTAATGGTAGGTCCTGGGTTTGGTTCTACGTTTCCTGATATAAAGAGGAGGAGTGACACACAGAGAAGAGGCAAAATGAAATCACAAGATGCAAAAGTGTCACATGCACACGAAGATGAAGAACTCTTGCTATTAGACTCACAACAAGACCGAGGAAGAAGAAGACAGCAGTTCCAGGCCCCTACGCTTGTTCTCCATTGCGACAGATCTATCATCACGAACCCCTACTTGGCCAATTGGAAGGAACAAAGAATCACGCCTTTTTTGTTTATAATTTTTATTTTTTAATGAGGCGTGGCTCAGGCCTATTAGAATTAATTTTTTAAATGGCAAAACTTGTAAGATCTTCATTGAGGTCTTATGTGGAGGGTGTCAAAAAAACCATTGCTCTTAAACCGCTTGATGACAGTGAGAAATTGATGCTTTGGGACCTGAGGGACGAGGATTGTGTTAATGAGTGGGAATGTATTAGTGATGAAGAAAGAGGAGGAGGTTCTCAAGCCACTTTTAAGTCAAACAAAAAAGGTATTACCTTAAGCCTACTATTTTTAGCGTCTACTAAATTTAGCTATATTAGCGAGAGAGCTTTAAATCGCTAAATTAAATAGACACCAAAATAATTATTATTCATTATAATGGTTATTATTTATAGTTAATTTGGTTAAAAACGCTAAAATTAGTAACGCTAAACATGACTTTTGCTGATTTCGCTAAAATTAGTAGATGCAAATAATAGTAGGCTTAAGGTATATAAAATTTTCTGATACACATACATGTTTTTATGTTGCGTTGAAATTTTAAGCTGATTCTGATCAAAATTAAAATCACTTAAAAATTGGCCAAAGATCTGTATATACTAGATATGCATGTGCATGTAGTACCATAATTCCTCTAAAAATTTGTCACATTAAATTTTTATTTGTAATTTTTAAAATGAATTTTTAGAGGGAGAGTAGTTATGAAGCTTTTAAATTAATTATTTTGTTGAATTAGGAGGGATTCATTAATACACAACACCAGCTGTATGCTAACCTGGCTATTCAGAGTATCCTTCTCTCATATTGAACTTAGAATAAATTATTGTAGAAAATTTGAAATAATTATTTATTTTCGAATTTAGAGCATCGAATATTTAGAGGAATTACGGTACACAGTATTTTATCAAAAATGGCTAGGAGAGAATTTTCCATTTTAATAATTTTTTCTGATGCATATACATGAATTTATGTGGTGTAGAAAGTTTGAGCTGATTCTGATCAAGATTAGATTTGTAATGAATTTTTGATACTGTTATTATTATTATTATTATTATCATCATTATTTATTAGGTACGGGCTCTGTCTTTGAAGGTGTTTTAAATACTAGCATTAAAAACACAGAGCTGAAATACAGTGGATATTGTGCCATTAGATCAAAGCCAGTAAAAGTAAGACACACGCTCTACAATACACTATTGCATTGATACATCGTTCAGTATCGCAGCTTAGATTTAATGAAAATGGATCGAAAAGATGTCTCCGAATTTGATGCTTTTGAGATTCGAGTGAGAGGAGACGGACGGAAATTCTTTGCTAACATTCATGCTCCAGGACTAGCGACCAGGGCAGATAACTTGTGGCAATACTTCATATTCACTAGGGGAGGCCCAGAATGGGAGGACATTATAGTAAGCTATGCTGCATTTTTGATTACCGTATAGTGCTTTATTTTGACAGCGCTTTATTTTGACAATTTTGCTGTAAAATTGTAATCGGAAGTTTTCTAATTTGACAATTTTTTGTGTACATGTGCATTACCGAGCATGAGCATTAGTGATTGGTGGTTTTTAATATTGGCGATTCCGCTTGCAAACCGCCAATTTTCCATATAAAATTTTGCCAAATTAAAGTGCTATATGGTATGTACACGTACATGTACTATAAAAATAGACCTCTTACAAAAGGTATTTTTATTATCTCGCATGCATGTGAATCAATTAGAAGAGATGATGAATAATGATTTGCCAGTTACACAATGTACATACCTGCAGTTCAATTTACTATAAATATTTATTATTACCTTTAATCTACATGTACATTGTATTATGCTCCATTTTTGATTATGTGCTTCAAGAAAGACCTATGCATGTGAATAAACTAGAAGAAATGAATAGTGATTTGCTGATTACATATCATTAATTTGTAATCCTTTTCTATTTTAGCTTCCTTTTCATAAATTTTTCCTGACTCACCGTGGCTATTTTCAAGATCGTCAAGTCGTCTTACCTTTAAAATCTATCGCAACATTTGGCCTGTTAGTAGCTGATAGAGTTAATGGGCCATTCAAACTCGAGATACAACACATAAAAGCAGTCCGATGTAAAGAAATACATACAGAGGCATCAGAAAAAGAGCTATTTGATTACTGAAGAATTATGATTTATAATAAAGAGAACTTGCTATATCAATGTATTATTAGTTTGATTATGAGTCATCATGCAGGTCTATATATAAATTAATTATAACAGTAAAAAATTGTGACTATAATTGACAAAATGTACATGTACTGTATGGTGAGTAATTCGTTTTTAAAGAGGAAAAAATCCAACTTCCTGTGCTCCATTAGTAAAGGAATTATTGCACAAGATGCAAAAAGTTCTTACGTACCTGTTGCAACCAATGCTTTTCTAAAAGAACACACACAAGTTGATATCCGCCAAATGGTACCTTTGTCAATTAAAGTCACAATTTTTGAAGATTTCACATGGAGGTTTAATTTTTAAAAAATTATTATAAATTAAATAATCTGCTAATACATGCAGCTGTTTATACTTCACATGGAGAAGGTTTAATTAAAAAAGAAGCAAACTATTTATTATCATGGCAGTATGGAGGCTGTTCAACAGTATTAATATCAAAAGTATAGCTAGAGTCCCAGTCTCTCTCGAAAACAAGCTTCAGCTCTTCTGGTATTGATAGTGAATCAGGATCAGTTATATTAGGTTTTTTGACAATACAACTGACACCACCAGTGGATATAAAGTAATCCCCTGACCAGTTTGATGTGCCTGAGGGGAAAGAAATGGAGATGAGAGAGAGAATTAGAGAAGGAAAAAAGAACAAGTAAAATGGACCAAGAAAAATAAGAGAGATAAATTAAGATGTACAGTGTACACAATAGTGATTGGTATGTTAGCACAGAATCAGAAACAGATGGCGAAAGAGAGAGAGAGAGAGGAAGGCCATATATTAGAGTATTATTATTATACTTATTACTACTACTATACAGCATAGACATGTACATATGTGTTGGTGTATATACCATAATCAGAACATATTGACATGTAGAATGTAGTGAGTGGAACACATAGAGAGTATTACTAATAATATTGATTTTATCATAATACATTAGCACACATGTACGTGTACATGTAGATGCATTGAAGTATTACGTATTACGTATTACGTATTACGTATTCTATTACGTACCAACATAGGCAGCTTTATCAGTGACCATGTACTTGTTATGATTGACTCTTGTGTATGGGATCTGAGTATCATTCAGTGGCGGAACAACAAAGTATTTCTATTAAGAATATATTATAATCCAAAGAATAAAAAATGTTTCATAAATACAATCAAAATAATTATATTTAAACGGGTATCTGTTTATACATACATGTATGTGTATCTGCAAGAGTACATAATACTTAAAGAGAGTATCCATGCAACAGCCCTATGTACTCTTGGTATTTGTCATATCAATTAGACTTATCCCTTTTAACTATATAGCAAGGCTGCAAAAGTTGTGGCAGCCATTTTGAAGTGGGGTGAATCCTACTTAGTAACGCTACCACGTTACTAATAGATGCCTACACAACAATGCCATACATTATTCTGCCTTCAACATTTAACAGTAAAACCACTAGTTTTAATGGTACTCAATTATCTCAGAACAGATACACTCTGATAGCTTTTACTCAATTATGGCTAGATCTATTAGCAGTTATGACAACAGTCATACTATTTTGTGGTATAGCTATAGCTCCATTGAAGTGCAAGTGCTAGTTTATTAATATCATTAACCAAGAGTGGAGCAGTGATGGAGAGCCCTGTTGAAGCAAATTCTAATACAGATGATGTGATATACGAAATGATGGAACAACCAGCATTTCATCAAGAGCAACGTCAAGATCGGCTTCCACCCAAAAGAAAACACATTGAGGATAAATGGCCACTTCGTATAGTGATATGCCTTTTTACAGTTATACTGCTAGTGCTTACCATTTTAGTGGGTATGTGTGGTTTCATAATATCACAATCATACCCTACTGAATGCACCAGTACTACAGCTACTACTGCCAGTATTCTTAATGCTGATGCTACTGCTATTGATGTGAGTAGGTTGGCTGTGAGTATTTCTCAAGTATTACTTGAAGTTCATGACCTAAAGGCTAGTTTTAACAACTCATTGGCTATATTAGTTGGGGAAATTCATGACAGAATTGACAACATGGAAGAAGAAATACTTGACAAAACAGCTCGTATTTCAGAGAAAAATAACAATACAGCTAACAAGAACTTGGAAAAATTGAAAAATTTTATTGAGATAACTGACAGTGATCTGAGGGTTGCTTTTAACAACTCCTTATTAGTTGGGGAAATTCACAACAGAATTGACAACACAGAAGAAGAAATACTCAACGAAGCTGCTCTTATTTCAGAAAAAAGTAACAATACAGCTAACAAGAACTTGGAACAATTAAAAAATCTTATTGAGATAACAGACAGGAAGATTGATGCTATACAAGACACCAGCACTTCTAATGCTGCAGTGATCAACGATGTACTACTAATGACACAAAGACTTTTAGCATTACATAATTTCTCTGTGGCTCTTCCTACATCTTGTAAGGAGATTGAACAGGAACAACCATCAGGAATGTATGAACTAGCATCTTTTAATGAGACGTACGAGGCTTACTGTCATATGGAGGAGCTGTGTGGTTCAAAAGGAGGATGGACAAGACTAGCATATCTGAACATGTCTGATTTTTCGGAGACCTGTCCTTCTGGGCTTAGATTGTACCAATCAGAAGACGTAAGTGCTTGTGGTCGACCATTAACAAGCAGTGCAGGCTGTGTATCAGTTCAGTTCCCATCTAATGGTATCAGTTATTCTCAGATATGTGGCAGAGTAACAGGATATCAGTATGGAACACCTGATGCTGTACATAGTGGATTTACTCCAAATCACAATAATTTGAATGGCGATTATGTTGACGGCGTTAGTATCACACAAGGGTCTCCTCGAAAACATGTCTGGACACTGATAGTAGGCTTTACTGACCAGACAAATAGCGACAATATTTATTACAATTGTCCATGTTCTACCGGCAGTACGCAACACATTCAATCGTTTGTTGGCAATCATTACACCTGCGAATCAGGAAACCCCACTACTTCTATATCAGCTCATTTATATACATCTGATCCACTCTGGGATGGCCAAGGATGTAGTTCTCATGAAGCAGCTTGTTGTGATATTCCTGGTATCCCATGGTTTCACAGAGACTATGGTAACGCTACCACTACTGACTATATTGAGTTGAGGGTCTGTGGAGATGAGGGAACTGATAACGAAGACACTCCTGTCAGCTATTATGAGATTTACGTCAAGTAGAAATGACTTTATGACCTGTTTTTGAGTGCTTTTGGCATTAAGTTTAAAGAATTCAGAAAATTTTTCTTTTGTTGTTTTTTAGATTAGATTCATTATAGAGGTTTACCTAATACCGTCAAGTGGTAATTCAAAAGCCACCTGCATTATTGTGTGCATTAAGAGGAATTTAAATTGATAATTTTCATGTTCTTTACACTTTTAATAATCATTTTTAATAACCGTTTTCAGATAGCGTTTTTTGAGACTAATAATTTTTGCAAATGACCTGCATACGGAAGTTTACAAAATCAATTTTTGCAAATATTTACTATTCTGCCATCTTGTACAGTATTTAATTTCGTGAATCATAAAAATCCATGAAACTTATTATCCTTAAAAAACAGCTACACAGTTAGCATAATGTAATATACTCACTGTTTTTATGCTTCCATTCTTGGGTTCGGTAACATTCCAAGACCCCAGACTCTCCAGAAAGCTCCTCATGTCACAAGGAGAGTGTTCCTAGTGACTGCCCAGCAGACGTACCTCAATCCCTTTCTCATAAGCTGCTGTACGCAATGCATCATCAATCACCGGCCAGTACCTAATATAATATAAATAAAATATAATATAAATTGTTAATATAATAATCAACAGGTTATTTTGAGGATATAAGTGCACCATATCAGGTGTTTTGTCAAGGGTTACAAGTTTTGTAAATTCCTTCCTGATCAACGAAAATAAAATCCACAAAATCAATGTTATACGGTACCCACATGGCACATAGTAGAATTCGCAAAATTAAAATCCGTAAATAAGAAATTAAGTAGATTTCGCAAGATATAATTCACTCAAAAAACCCACTTATATGGTACACTGCAATGTACAGTAACAAGAGAATTTTATTGTATTATTAAGAAACAATCCTCTCTTACTTTTTAGGGTAGCTGTAGACAATGGCTGGTTCATAGGTCCATTACAGCAATGTAGATAAACTCATCAGCACTCGCTATGACATTGAGGAGGGCGCTAATGTCATCAGTTCTGTGATCAGTAGAGAATTGTGGAGGAGATGACTAGAGAATAGAGAGAGAATTTTTATTAAATTTTAAATACATATTGATGTCCCTATATGCTATGTAGAAAGTTTGAGCTGATTCTGACAATCAAATTTTGAGTTATGAGCATTTTAAATGAGCCAATTTTTGAAAAATACCCAAAGCTATAGCCCCCCATGGTTTTTTCGAAAAATGGCTCCAAGATCACCCCAAATTTTTACTACATTTTCTGATACATTTTCTAATACATATTGATGTACTTATGCTATGTAAAAAGTTTGAGCTGATTCCGACTTTATTTTTTTAAAGTTACGGCCATTTTAAGAAAACATCAAAAATCTGAAAAATACCCAAGGCTATTATAGCCCATGGTTTTTTCAAAAAATGGCTCCAAAATCACCCTTAATTTTTATTACATTTTCTAATACATATTGACATCCTTATGCTACATAGAAAGTTTGAGCTGATTCCAACTTTTTTTTCAAGTTACGGCCATTTTAAGAAAGTGTCAAAAATCTGAAAAATACCCAAGGCTATAGCCTTGGGTATTTTTCAGATTTTATAGCCCATGGTTTTTTCCAAAAAATGGCTCCAAAATCACCCCAAATTTTTATTACATTTTCTGATACATATTGACGTCCTTATGCTACATAAAAAGTTTGAGCTGATTCCGACTTTAATTTCTCAAATTATGGCCATTTTAAGAAAATGAAAAAAATTTGAAAAATACCCAAGGCTATATAGCCCATGGTTTTTTGTAAAAAATGGCTCCGAAATCACCCAAAATTTTTATTACATTTTCTGATACATATTGACGTCCTTATGCTACATAGAAAATTTGAGCTGATTCCGACTTAAATTTTTTAAGTTACAGCCATTTTAAGAAAGCGTCAAAAATCTGAAAAATACCCAAGGCTATTAGTAACGCGGTAGCGTTACTAAGTAGGATTCACCCCCAAACAAAATGGCTGCCACAACTTTTGCAGCCTTGCTATACCGGGAAAATGAGCTCCTATGCTTACCAGACTTCTTAGAGGACCTTATCTTGACCAGAGGACTCCATTGGCACCACTAGCGTGGCCCTAGACCTTGTCTAAGAGAAAATCCAAAAATCGGCGAACCGGCCGTTTTGTTCAGCCACCTATTTTCATCTTCATTATCATAATCTTAGCTGCACGCCACCATTTTGTTATTATTATTATTATTATTATTATTATTAATTAAAGAAGCATGTGCTCCAAAATTTGGGTGTGGTCGCGCATGCTCAGATCTGCAGCTCTGGAAGATGCGAGTTATTCTTTTACCAATCAACTTACTGCAATACTTTAGTGGAGGTTTCCAGCTAAAAGAAGGTATTAATTTTACATGTTACTGTTTTATCAAGTGTGTTATTTTATTTTATTTTAAAAACAAACAATTAATTAATGATATGACTTATGATATGCAATGATAATTATGAACTTGACAACAGCCTGGAAGAACAGGAATAGCAGGGAAGATGGACACTCTTAGCTCACAGATTCTTGAACAAGGACTTGTGTCAAGACTAGTATTAGTTTCACTTGTCATCAGTATAGTTGATATTCCTTCAGCATGTCTATTCAATGCTGTCTCTCATAAATGTCATAATAATGATGATAATAATAAAGAAAATTATTGTTTTTGTAAAATCAACAAGTATCACAATTGCAACTAAAGAAATACTATAAATATTATTAAAAAATCAACACAAACAAGAACATAAAAAATTAAAAAAAACAAGATGAAGTAGGATTCCGAACGACCAACGAAAATACGAAATGAAAATCCTACTCGTGACGCAAATTCTACTCTACCTTGCAAGGTGATCCATAATTCTTACATAATAACATTAAAATTACAATGTAGAGTAGAATTTGCGTCATGAGTAGGATTTTCATTTCGTATTTTCGTTGGTCGTTCGGAATCCTACTTCATCTTGTTCTTTTTTAATTTTTTATGTTCTTGTAGCCCATGGTTTTTTGTAAAAAATGGCTCCAAAATCACCCCAAATTTTTATTACATTTTCTGATACATATTTACGTCCTTATGCTACATAAAAAGTTTGAGCTGATTCCGACTTTAATTTCTCAAATTATGGCCATTTTAAGAAAATGAAAAAAATTTGAAAAATACCCAAGGCTATATAGCCCATGGTTTTTTGTAAAAAATGGCTCCAAAATCACCCCTGATTTTTATTACATTTTCTGATACATATTGACGTCCTTATGCTACATAAAAAGTTTGAGCTGATTCCGACTTTAATTTCTCAAATTATGGCCATTTTAAGAAAATGAAAAAAATTTGAAAAATACCCAAGGCTATATAGCCCATGGTTTTTTGTACAAAATGGCTCCAAAATCACTCCTAATTTTTATTACATTTTCTGATACATATTGACGTCCTTATGCTACATAGAAAATTTGAGCTGATTCCGACTTTAATTTTTTAAGTTACGGCCATTTTAAGAAAGCGTCAAAAATCTGAAAAATACCCAAGGCTATAGCCCATGGTTTTTTGTAAAAAAATGGCTCCAAAATCACCCCAAATTTTTATTACGTTTTCTGATACATATTGACGTCCTTATGCTACAAAGAAGTTTGAGCTGATTCCAATTTTATTTTTTCAAGTTACGGCCATTTTAAGAAAGCATCAAAAATCTAAAAAATACCCAAGGCTATAGCCCATGGTTTTTTGTAAAAATGGCTCCGAAATCACCCCAAATTTTTATTACATTTTCTGTTGATAAGATTTTTGGTTAAGTATGGGCAGTGACTAGGCAAAATGCCAATAACAACTGCTATTAGCAAACTTACAGTGGGAGTATAAATTCATTCCCCCATTATGCTAGTGTTGCATTGTTATCGTATCATATCAACCATGACCCAGGGCATGCCATTCCTTTACCATAATTGTAACAGCATAATAGCAACTATAGTTGTAGGAGTAGATGTAATAAGATCACACTCATAGCTGGAATGCATGGCATTGTCAAGTACAGTATACTTCTGAATCAGTCATGCTTGTTATTCCTTTCCAAATTAGAACAAAACAATTATTACAACTTTGTACTTTTGAGCTTCTCATACTTTCCTTATGAGGCAGTCACATTGACTTAATGAACTTATCATTATCATGTCAGATTCCCCAGGAAATAATTCAACATAGGGGCAGGGGAGTGGAGTAATTCGCCAAATTCATTTTTGTTTTTTTTAATTATTTTGCAAAAATGCCTTTGTTACACAGAAAAACACACACTTTCATATTTCCTTACTTGGTAAAAAGGAATGGAATAAGATGCCCAAGATACATAGACTCCGATGAAGGACCACGCCCAGTGTATAGAAAAAATGGCTTATTTTGCTCATATGCATTCAAGATATCAGAAACATCCCTGCATAGGCCATGATTAATATAAATTTTATGATTTATAACTTTACCTGTGAGAAAAGAAAATTCCTCGGCGGAGAAAGTGGTGGGCTGGTTTCTTTGATAGAGTCTCGATCCTTTGTAGAAGGGATTCGTCAATTCTCTCACTTCCAAACTGAACTATAAATAGATATATAATTTCACACCTGACATTTTGGCCTATATACCAATGAGCTTGTCATAGTTGATCTTCTTTTCCCCTTCTCCTGCTTTAGCTGTCCAAGGATCAACAATTTGTTCTTTAGGTTGAGCTGATTCTGCTGCCATTGTTGAACCGTTTTTCCTAGTGAAATCAACTTGTTGTCCTTTGTCCAGCAGGATATTTTGCTGCTATGGGCTAGGTTAATATCATTATGCAAAACTTGAGCTCGCCTACGCGTCCTGGCACGACGCCCATCCTATCCATATTGATACGGTTATGTACTGAATCAGTTCCAAAAATAGCCTGAACTATACTAAAAAATAATCATCTCTAATAAAAATAGAACATAAATGAAACTGGCGCAAAATCTAACAGGCTATATAAATCTAAAACATAACAATTTTAATTTGTTTGTTTATATAATTTTTTGCTGCCTCACAGGTCATGACATAGATGATAACAAACTACACTATAGCTCTAGAGCTCAAATGATTTAGTTTTTTCTTTCGTTTTTGTTAAAAATATTTCTAATGTAGACCCTCCAGTTCCTTCTGTAGCAGTATCATTACTTGGCTTAAGAATATAATTTGTCACAAGGTCAATGTGCTCCTGTCGAAAGGCCACTAAGGCTTTAACACAACTGTTGTAAGTATCCTTGCTGCATGAATGAAGCTCTACATAGGTCCTCAAAATGGAGTGTGAAAATTCATCTTTCTTGTATTCATTTTTCATGTCGGTTAGAAACTGACGATGCTCAAGTGGCATACGAACTTTCATCCCATCCAAGAAACTTTTAGTACCACCTTCAAATTCAATGCCTAAAAATATATCAAATAATGGAATGATTGAACTTTGGACACCACTTGCACCGGGATATGTTCGAAATGTGTCAGGATCTTCAGTACCCTCATACTGTATTCCTTCCTTACTTCCAGAAAAAAAGCTTCGCAACTTGTTATAAAAGACACTTGGATCACATTCGTAGTACATCTCTTTCATAATGCCTGTGATACTAGATATGCAATCAGTGACAATCTTGAGGCAACGCATTACTTCTTGCTGATCATCTTTCTTGATTGCTTCAATGCAATCAATGACAGCTTTGATACCTGGTGCAGCTGCAAGCTCAATACGCATATGAATTAGATAGAACCAAGCTTCATCTTTACTACCAGTAAAGGACAATGCGATCTCAAAGTTGTCTTTAGAAAGAGGCTCACTCGGGTTTTTCAGATGCCAATTCCATAAAACAAAGGCAGCATAGCACGGAGAAGGTGATAGGCCGAGATGTGACGAAACGGCAACCAAAGGAACGGCTAACTCCCTAGGTAGACTTGTGCACTGACCAATAGATCTGTATGCTTGAGAAATAAAGGTGATAACACAGTAAGCTCTTTTCCAGTGTTGTTCTGTTGGAAGCGACGACTCGTCAATTGTAATCAATGGAAGACGGTCAACTTTATCTATTAGTTGTTTGCCAGAATCTTTCAAAAGAGTTGGTAAGTCGTTAGCGATACTTTCCCACAGCTCAAAAGAACTAGGGAGGCGTTCAACTTTAGAAAGAAATCCTAAATTCCATCTAGAATCCATGGCTAAGTTACAATGCGATGGCCCGGTAATCTATGGTTTGTTGCTTATCCACTGTAGTTTATTATTAGTTATAAAGTTGCACTAGATTATTCAAATCAAAAAATTCAAAGTAATAGATCTAGATCTAGCTATAATAGTAAAACTAATAGCAAAAATAATTAACACTATAGTCAAATAAAGGCAGCAAAAAATTATTCTTGATCCTTAAGCGGACAGCTTAAAATTCAGAGGACGAGGAGTCATGAACTGCTTCACAACATCCATAGTCACCTCAGCACGTCTTGCCTGATGATCACCAACAAGCTTTTGAAGCACACCAATAAGCTCTTTCTTGAGTTGTCCAGTAAGCAGTTTTCCACTCTCATAATTCTAAATTAAACCATTTAATTAAATATACCTAGTTATGCTATTACTACCTTCTTTATCTCTGCCAGACGTTCATCATCCTCCATGAAAAAGGTCAAGTATTGATAAGAGACATCAACGTCAGTGTTACCACCATGCTC